ACAACTCACCATTTCACTTTGGACTGATCAAATTAAGATCCTGGATGGGGGGAGGGTCGAGGTCCATTCCCAGTCCTGTGTTCCCGTACTTTGTGTGTCTTATCAGGAGTAGTATTATTAAAATTTCTTTTTTCCCTGCATTTATTCTCTCATCGAACGAAAAATACGCTTTTGCATGCTTGGGGGGGGGAGCAAACTCTATACGCCCGTACAACCAAAGTTTGAGATGCATTGGCATGTTCGGACGCAAGGCGGTTTCGGATGGGCCGAGTTGTATACTGTCTCCCCTTCCAGTCATGAATTGGGTATGAATCCCCTACCCAAGCACAGATCGATCTGGTCGGTAATGGTCCAGCCACGGCCGTAGTGGAGGCCTACCGCTCAATGCATATATCGCAGAGTATGTCGTTCATGAGGGACTGTCCTGTTGATAGTCTAGCTGCCACAGAACCCTGGACCGTGCAGATCGAGCAAACAACAACAAAGAGACGAGCTATGTCAACTCCGTCAATAGCTCTTTCACTTTCTTGTTCTCGAGAAAGGGCAGGTCCCGTCCGAGCAAGCACACACACACACACACACACCCCCCCCACCCACCAACAGATATCCACACCTAAATGATAGACATGCATAGATAGTCTTTGTTTAGGGCACGCGGTAAGCTGACTGTTAGGGTAATCAATGGATCGTTAGGATATCATACAAAGGTAATACATCCCAATACCAAGGTCATCCCTGAAAGAAAGAAACATTCCGTTTGCATCTGGCGCAGCTGTCACCGTGGCCGCCACTCAGATCTCTCACCCGGTGAAGTCAAACCCCCGCTTTGCTTGCTGGGGCACCGACAGACCGGATGAGGAGGTGTTCAACCGTTAGTGTGAGCCGGAGGATTGAATTCCTCCTCCTCCTACTACTACTACTACTACTATTACTACTACTAGTCGGACTATTCCTACTCTTCATTAGTCTCCCTCCTCAGAGTCCCAGTCTGTTTCCGTCTTGGGTGACTGGAACCGTCATTGGCGAATGCAATTGATAGAATGGGAGGTTCCGTCCAATCTGACTGAGTCCATCCATGGGCCTGGCGCGGTTAATGGCGGGGACCAATCAAAGAACAACAGGGAATTCCCCATCAACTCATGGATGCTTGATGTTTGTTCTTTTATTTGATTTTATTTGATTTTTTTCCCCCATGGACTTATTTCAGCGGTACTAGTGATCCCCATCTTTCCGTCTCTTGTTGACAAAAACAAACACCGTAATCGAAGACGAAAGTATAGATCGTTCCAAGTCAGACTATTCCCACGGTGGTCAAAAAGTGAAATAAGAAATAAAAAACTGCCCCAAAGAAAAGAAAAGAAAAAGCTTGCGTGTGTCAAAGAAACCGTCCGAGTAAGACGGCCGCGAGAGAGTCTTTGGGCTTGACCGAGATCCCAATGCACAGCAGGCCCGACTAGGTAAAGCAAAGTGGGGTCCCACTAGCCGGCATTCGGCTTAGCGGAACCTCCAGTCACGGATCGGCCAACCACGCCGCCGCGCGACATCAGCCGAACTGCCAGCCTGACAAGACCCAGACCCAGACTCAGGCTCAACTGGTGCAAGGATCTGATGGGATGAAGCTAATTTAGCGTGTTCTTTTTTTTTTTTTTTTTTTTTTTTTCTTTTTTTTTTTTTCGTGGTTTTTTTTTTTTTTTTTTTTTTTTTTTTTTTTAATTTGATTATTTCATTTTATTTACTCCGTATTTGATAGGAGATTGTTCGGGTTTTACCGTTCCGGAAGAGAACAACTGACACTGGTCACGACTTCTTTTCGTTGCTCTCTCTCTCGACCGTCCCCCCCCTCGAATGATTGGACCATCGGATCCGAACCAGATACTGGGACCTGGAGGCAATCTGGGACTTCGTATTCTGCAGGAGGCACGGGAACAGTTTTAGTCTATTTATTTATGCTCTGGAAGAAAGTTGGAAGGATCATTAATCACGAGAATGAAGGATAGGTTGGGATTGATTGCTCGGTAATCTGGCCAATCTGTGGTCTACCGAGGATAGTCGCGTGGATAGCTTACGCTCGACTTACTAAGGAGGTAAGTCAATAGTCAGTCGTTAACAGCGAACTAGTCGTCCCCTGGAAAATGCCTGTCTTTCGAGAGGAAGCACTGGGAATGAAGAAGGACCGCACAGGCGAACCAGCAAGCACTCGTTTGCCTTGAGACGAAGAATGGTTCTTGGATGGGATCGGGGAAAGGTCCGTGCGGAAGGCAAATAGCCTAGAGCAGTCCAGAATACGAGAGAGAGGAACTTGTTCATTGTCCCCTCTGGATGTCTGATGCGTTTTGCTCCTCGTGGGGTGAGACGAATGTCTCTTGACTGACCATTATGCCGGGTGTAAACAATGTCTCCGTGAGTCTTTCACCAACTCATTGCTGTGAAGAATCCAATAACGATGGTGATTATGTGCATACAGACATACAGACATACAGACATCCATCTGGTGGGAGGGTCCGTGTGTATCGTCTGTTCGAGTGCTAATTATATTTCCTCGTTTGAGGTCGTCGGTACTGAGTCACGAAAGATGATAGCTCAGGCTGTCTCGTCAGCTTCACTCCCTCCATTCCCCATATGCCATGCATTCCGGGACGCAAGGAGGGCCACCAAGCAGAAAAAGGAATCATACAAACATTCACCCTCAAGGACCTAAATTCAATTAAATGAAAATAAAAATGTCAAGAAAAAAGACTTCCTCGGACTCGACCTCAATCCAAACGATAGCTCACTCTCTCTAAAGAATAAACAAGAAATCAACACATGAAAAGAAAAGAATCTCCAAAAAATAAAAATAAAAATAAAATAAACAAATAAATAAAATGAAATAAAATACAATCATCGCTTATGTGACCCCTTTTCTGGCATATCGGTCTAGGATTCTTTCTTTCTTCTCGATCGGATCCATACCGAAGCTGGTCCACTTCCTGTATCTCTTTTCTTTTTTTTCCTTTTTTGCTTTTTTTTTTTTTTT